GAAAGAGTAAAGCAAAGAAACAGTCACATATGAGTCACAAATTGTCTAAGTAAGATCTCTATAATTAAAGTCCCAATGGAAGGAGAGAAAGGGGAAAAAGAAATAATTAAAAAGAATCACTGAGATTTCCCAAAAGTAATGGATAAAAACACTGATTCAGGAAACCTAATAAACCTCAAGAGAGAAATTATTCCTAAGACACTGTGTTATGAGCAAAACTGTGTTCCCCATCCCCCCCAAAATTCATATGTTGAAGCCTCTCGTACCTCAGAGTATGAGTATATTTGGTGTTATATTTTAAAAGTAATTAAGGTAAAATAAGTTCAATAGGGTGGACCCCAATCCAATATTCTAGTGTCCTTATAAGAGGAAGATAGGGTACACAGTCAGAGGGAATAGACCATGTAAAGACATCATGAGAAAATGGGCATCCATAGATAAGGACAAAGACCTCAGACAAAAACAATCCTGCCAGCTCTTTGGTCTGGAACTTCCAATCTTCAGAAATTGTGAGAAAATAAATTTACGTTGTTTAAGGCACTAGCCTGTGGTACTTTGGTATGGGAACCCTAGGAAACTAATAGACAGTAAAAATAAAATAGAGGCAAAGAGAGGGTGACCTCTCTGTATAATCAAAGACAAGACACAACATATAGACACAAATTTCCATATGGTGTCAGTAAGATCTTACAGAAAAATCTATTTTTATGGCTTTAATTATCTGAGAAAATAAAAAACAATGTTGGTCTAGACCAGCAGATGGCATAATGATTACGTCCCTGGACTCCCATATAGTCGACTGCAGTTCGAGTCCCAGACCCAGCTGCTTAAAACTCACAGTGGGTGCATGTGCATGCATGCATGCCCAAAATCCCAAGAAGAGATTGGGGGAGAAGAGATTGTGGCATAGCCATCCCCCCGGATGGGGTGATTTCTCACTTTCTGTCTCTCTGTCTCTCACTGTGTCTCTGTCCAGCAAGCGCATATACTCTATAACAAAAATCTCTAAATAAATAAATAAATAAATAAATAAATAAATAAATAAATAAATAAAATGTTGGTCATTATCAGAACCAAAATGGGAGAACAGGTATTTAATGTTTGAGGAGAAAGGACATGATATGACATCAGTCCAGACGAGAATAGGAAAATTGTGTAAGGAATGATAGTTTGGTTTCCAAGTAGCATATGGTGTCCACTTGAGGTTAGTAAACATGAATTAATTATGTAAGGAATAGATCATCTGGCTTCCAGGTAGCATCTGGGGTCCCCTTGAGGTTAATAAGTAAGACAAGTCAGTAGAGTAGTTTATTTTTTTCTTCAGCTTGTATCTCAGGTCATTTGGCCTGCTGTAACAAACTACCCTACACTGTAGGCTTACAAACAACAGACATTTATTTCCTATGGTTCTGGAGGCTAAGAAGTCCCAAGATCAAGGTGCTTAAAGGGCCCATTTTCCCATAGATACCATCTTGTCATTGTGTCTTCACATGGTGAAAATAGCAAGAGGTCTTACTAGGGCTTCTTTTATAAGGGCCCTAGGTTCACCCATGAGGCTCCATCCTCATTATCTAATTACCTCTTATAAGCCCCACCTCCTAATATCTTTGGAGTTGGGATTCCAACACATGAATTTAGGAGAAACACAAGTATTCAGACTATAGCAGCTTCATTAAGTTATGTGGGTTGAGACACAAAATAGACAGAGTTGGGCTTAACTGGGATTGGGCCAAGAAAGCGTTATACAGTCAGTGAAAGACCCAGAAATTGAGGGTATATACAACTTCTACATCCATTTTCATGTTGTATGTCCTTTTCCCGTCAAATCTAATCTCTCAGGAGACAAATAAAACATAACCAAAGTAGAATGAAGAAAAGAACAGCATGACTGAAAACAGGCATTCACTGAATTCATACTCATTGAACTGAAGGCAAGTAATAAATGTGAACCCTAAAGATTTAATACAAGAAACAAAGAAAAATTATTTCCTCACTCTTCCTGACCATACCTTTCAAGTCTTCTTCCTAGTTTATTACATTATTTGGACAACTACACTGACCACACCTTCTGTGATTGCTTAATATTTGCTTGAGTGAAAGACGTTGAGGCAACCTGAAGGAGGAGCTTTTATTACTCTCTGTCCATCACACAATAAATAGCCAGCCAAGCCCTCAACATTCCAGTACACCACTGGGGACATGAGACAATCACACAAGCTGCCCCTAGTGGGGCTCCTATTGTTTTCTCTCATTTCAAGCCAACTATGCAAGATCTGTGGTGAGTACACCGTAAACTAAAATAACTAGAGTGTGGTAGTCTCCTGAAGGTGGTTGACAAGGGACTTTGTGTAGAGTTACCTAAGGAAATATCTCATTCCAGTTCCATGCATCAGTGGACTCTGTGAACAGTGCAAAGGGTGGTAAGGTGGTGAAGAAAGTCCTACAATACAAGTTGTTTTAAGAAGGGTCATAAATCCTCTGTTAACTCACCTAGCTGCTATTTCTATGCTCGGATTCTAGCTCAGCATCCTTAACAAGTAACTATTGGGACCAGCAGTTAGTGTAATGGCTTTGTCGCTGGACACCCATGTAGTCGACTGCGGTTTGAGTCCCGGACCCAGTGGCTTAAACTCAATGCCGAGTGTGTGTGCATTCATGCCCGAGATCCTGGGAGGAGAATGGAGGAGAAGGGATTGTAGCATGGCCATCCCCGCTGGGGAGTGATTTCTCGCTTTCTGCCTCTGTCTTTGTCTTTCTGGTGAGCGCATGTGCCCCATAGTAAAAAGTCTCTTTAAAAAAAAAAAGTAACTATCTATTCTTGTTCATTTCCATTGACATGATCCCAGAAAACATTCAAGATCATGAAAAAATATCTTTTGGTTTTGAAATGCAATCTATTTTTTCTAAGGCTCAACCCATGAGTTTTGGGTTAACCCCTTGTATCTACATAGAAAATAATAATAATAATTTCTTTCAAAGAATAAGCACTACTTACTTTCTTTCCATTACTGAGTTTAGTTGTCCTAAGACACATATGCCCGTCTCTAATTCTTCCATATGACACATGGTACACACAGGTAAAATCCCATTATCTCTTCTTTAGGTGCGGGCTCCCCCAGAGATTGTGTTTCTAATTAAAGAATAGTAAAATAGGAAAAAGGAAAACTGGGTTCAGGTCTAGTTTGACCTTTTTAGTTTGTATATCCCAATGTTTCTGAATTGCTTTAGCTTCTTTCAATAAATGGAAGATACTGAGGGAAGAGTGTTGAAGCGAATGGTCTCCTAATGTCTGCTGTAATTCTCAACTGCGTAATTTCTCTTTCATGAGACTTTACTCTGAAATTCAGTTTCAAACCAGATGACCAAGTGTTACCATCTGTGTCTGTTTCTTCCTGGTGCTCTATAGTTGATAAAAAGAGATCAATACCACAGAAGACAGACTTGTATTCATACAGGATAAAGCACAGAATCGACCAATCTAATTTTTCTCCCTATCCCGTCATTCATCCTGCAGAATCTTGAGAATAGTGAATCTCTATGGAAGCAGTGACATTCAATTCATTGTACAAAATAATGAACTTTGTCTTTTAGCAGTCAAGGAAGCTGAGTTGACTTGTTGACCAGGAACTAAAACAGTCTGTTGCAATGCCAAAAAATCTACTGAACTGAAAGCTTCCACAGAATTTCAGAGAAATGACTCACAATTGTTTCATTGTGCTTGCAACCATGGCCTTTCTATAATCACTCCATTCAGATCTTTGTGACTTTTAAAGTGAAGAAAAGTGGGCAAGAGAAATCACATTCCTCAATTCTCAAGTATAGTAAGCAACAGAAACTCCAGTAGAGCTGAAAGTAATAAAATGTTTAGCATTTTACAGCTTATTGAAAACTTTCTTGCCATTAAGAACTTTCCCACTAGCCCAAGTGATAATCTGGAGATGGGCAGAATTCTCGGTTACTTCTCAAGTTTATGTACACAGTATATCGAAAAGTTGCCCTATATTTGAAGTAGTAACTAATTGTTTTTATTCTCCCCTAGTTCTTTGGGGCTCCTAACTCTCTTTTTATTTCCACATTATAATGTGGGTTTGTTCCATCCCTGAGATGTGGGCATATTGTAGGTGAAAATTAGAGTTTCTCAAATAGTCAGTACTGCTCCCTAATGATCTAAATGCCTGGCCAGTTGTAGTTTTGAGGTCAATCAATAGAATTTTTCCCTAC